TAGCAGCTTTAGATCTATGTGCAGGAGGCACCATCTTCCACCACAATACCCTCGCGAGTTGCTCTGTATCTCTCTTTATAAAATGGATGAAGGGCTGGTTTCATTATCAAGTCCACATAGTCTTTCCCTTTGAGTCCCCCAGTAGGTAGAATGACCATCGGACCCTTGTGACCCAATTGAATTGAACCCAATCACGGACTGCTCGATATATCCAGCAAGTGCCCTCATGATGACCAACCTCAAACCGTGATTCATCTGTCCAAATCACCTCACCCCAATTCTCCATTGTCCAATGCTTCCTTACACCAAAGCATTCGTTTCAATTTATGTAGTTTAGATAGGAAAGGTTTTCGCTGTGCCCGCCGCTTATGTAGACCGCCTTGCTTGAGGTATTTGCGTGCGGTTTTCATGGTTACTTTGGTGGTGAGGCTCTTCAAATTAGTAAGAACACCCAGATGCATCCGCCGGTGTCGCTTGGATAAGGAAATCAGGTGTCTCTTCTGCCTGTTACTGCACTTCTCTGGCCGACCACTATGAGGTGCTGAAGCTGTATAAGGAATAAGCGATCTAGGTTTCGCTTCTCCTTATCTCTCTGGACGATATGCCAGCAGGTGGTTTTCTTAACTCCCGTCTTTGCAACTATCTCGGTGTAGGTAAACCCTAACTCAAATAGGGTGATAACTTTGGACCGTTGGGCATCTGATGTTTCAACAAGGTGGCGTGTTTTAGTGGCATCTGGAGGAGGTGGAGGTCGTGGCACATTCATAGCTGCTGCTGCATATGGCCTGCCTGCCAGTGCACAGCGCATTCACTATTATATTACTCGAGATCCTCAACTCGAGATAACATCCTAAAAACCTACAAACGAACCTACAACGGGATCTGCAAACCAACATACAAACCAACACACCCAAGATCCTCAAACCAACCTACTCGTGATACTCAACGTACCTTCTGGAAGCCGCAACTGAGACATCCGGGTCTCAGCACGGGCGCGCTTGCGTTCCATTACTTATTACCTATCGCTGTACAAGCAATCTCTCAATCGGCTCATTTGTCTTGAAGGCGCCCCCAGTACTCCTCATACTCGCAGAGATCTGTATAATGGATAACTCTCTCGTCACTTGGTTTAATCCGATGTGGTATAATGGTGCTCGCTTTCAAGTCCTTCTAAGAAGAGAGAAGCTGGTCCGAGCAGATCGGGGTCCGATTCCCTGCATCGGGGTAAATTTTATTTTATTATATTCATTTCATTTACGCTGGTGAATTAATGAATTAAACCAAAAAAAAAAAAAAAAAAAAATTACGCTGGTAGCCAGCAACCCTAACCCTTTAAAACCTTTGTTAACTGAATTATTTTGAAGAAGATAGGTCTTCTGAGGAGGCGCAGGAAGTCTTCGTGATACATGTATCTAGGAAGGACATTGTTCTTAATCTTTCGATCTCTCGTATATATACATTATGTTAACGCGGCAATCTATTATTCCTGGCGCTCGCTTACCGATGAGAGGAACCCAACTTATGGGTCGGGTAGCTGCTAGTAATTATCTACCCGATAAAGATGTTATAATACAATTAAAAGGATTTGTATGCAAGATATGTATATTGGCATTCCCTCTTGTCTGGCTTCAGTTGTGAATAGGTATACACTCTAGAGGACAACTGTAGGTGACTACGTCGTTTAGCTAAGTCAGTTCGTTGTTTAAACTGCCAAAAAGTTGCAGATAAGATAATTGAGCTCAGTTTAATCCACTGTTCACCTAAATGACTATTTAGCCAGCAGCCAGCTATTAAAGCACCACCACGGGTGGCCTTCCTCTTCCTCAACACGAACACATCAACACCACCAACACCTCCACAATAATTATCACCAATGTCTTCAGCATCATCCCCTTCTCCCTCATTTACATCAGGTTCATCATATTAGATCAGTGCCCCATCTATTCCCCTCAGTTCCCCAACTGCTCCCATCTGTTCCTACCTTTTCCCCTCTGCTCCCCCTCCTGTTCCTCTACGTTCCCCACCAGTTCCCCTATGTTCTCCCCATTTGCTAACGTAGTTCAGTGCTTGGGTCACCATCACCATCACCAGTGTCAACGTAAGACATATCCAACCCATTGATTAGTATAGCCATTACTAATAGATAGAAGTAGCAGCAGCAGTAGCATTAGAATTGATAAAATAAATTGAGTTTTTTTGTTTAATTCATTAATTAAATAAATTTATATATCTATAAACAACTAGTCATTTATTAAATATATATCTCTAAACAACTACCTAAGTCATTTATTAAATATATATCTCTAAACAACTAGTCATTTATGAATATATATCTCTAAACAACTACCTAAGTCATTTATTAAATATATATCTCTAAAAAACTAGTCATTTATTAACTGTCCTCATACACTCGACGTTGTCATTTAGTATAAGTGACAAAGGTGGTTTAGTCTAATTGAGTTGGTCACTTATAGTAAATGACTCTACTAAACGACATAGTCATTGGTAGTTTGCTACTAGAGACAGTGATTGTCCGTCAAAATCACCAGTCCCTGCACACGTACGGATATGTCTATCGTGGGAAATCACTCGATGGACAATTATATACTTCGAACGGACGACCTGTAACTACTAGAAAGTGCGTGCGTTTATGGATATGCAGCTCTGAGCCTTTTCTGTATCGTTCCATAGATATTATCACCGCACCCCGCAGGCCCTGCTCGATCGGGACTTGGTATTGGAAATAGATACCTTATTGATCGAACGCTGGTGAAAATGCAAACTAAAGTTGATAATGAGGACAAAGGAGATAAGATATGGGATAGGGGAGGAATTCTAATCAAGTTAATTACATGAGGCCCGATCCACTATGAGCCAAGTAGTGTTGTCGACGAGACGAGTGGCTCGAGCCCAGAACTCGAGCGCCCACGAGTACCCACCTTCATAAGTCTAGTTGGCTCGGGCCTTTTCCGTTGCTCCACTTCGGGGACTCGGGATTTCGGGGTGTTGTTTGGATCGTGGTGGGGGCGCTGGCGGTATCTTTTTTTTTTTTAAATCATGTTTTTTTTAAACGCTGGCGGTATCTTTGGTAATCTATTTTATAAAATGGTGCAGTATCAAACCCTAACCCTATAAACATATGTTCCAATAAAGAGATGGATCTAGAATGATTTCAAGGACTGCTATCTGAGATCACTGGAAAGCCCAAGCATTCACCAATTCCTATCGATCTCGCCCCACCACTCCCGCCTTCGCTGCCAAATTCTACCAGCTATGAGGAGACTCTAACAGCTGCATTGCACTTATCAAATACAGATGAAGATGTATATGTACTAATTCTCATGCTCCCGCACAGATACTTCACACAATTATGTCACATGACCTTGCAACCAGAATAATAGATACTACATATAGCGCATCCATTCCTGCCTCTACTTCCTTTCTACCGCAGCTATCCGGGTGTGCATATATGGATTGCAAGGCCCAGCTTAATTCCCCCCCTGAACTCCCGCTGCGCACCCCCGGTGATCCAACAAAAAAGACCTACCAATTACAAGTAGTATTCTAGTTTACTGACGGACATCGCTCAGCCAGGGATGAGCGCTAATTCTGGGAGCCAATAAGGTTTACAGCATCAACGGCTACAATAACGTTAATGGTTGAATAGTAGAGAGCATTCTGTGAGCAGATGAATATTTTAATGACTCTCAGATGCCCGTTCAAGACCAACAGTGAAGAGGGGACAGCCACTCATCGATGCACTAATGAAGCAACGAGCAAACGCGGGCAGTATTTTCTACTTGCCCTACTTTAGATGTGGGAGATCCACAAGGTAGTTAATCTGCTCGAAACTCTTTTTTTGGTGACAGTATATTGATATGTACACGAAAACAGTGGTACTGCACTGAGATCTAATTACCCTATAAAAGAGAGTAGAGCTCCAGGCTAGACCAGCGACGCTGATGAATGAACCGCAATTGAGCGATGAATTCCGACATAATAAATACTTTTTCGAATAAGCAGTCTCTTGAAAACGTTCCGCGAGCGAGCTATGTTCGCGGCTAGACTAGAACGGTAATGTGATTATGACTTGTTATTTGATTCATGTGCTCCTTAGCTATAGGTAAATATCTGCATGCGCTCAACTTCATTAAAGCTACTATTGTAACCCAGTTGAGATTGAGATTGTAAAAGCTAAGTTCTTATGCAGTCACTACGCACATGCGGACGACATACATTACATATAGGTATAAAAGACTGTTGAGCTTATAAAAATGGCAAAGCTTTAAGCAAAGCTAAGAGTACCCCGTAGGAGGTTGATGTTACAACTACTCGCGAAAGGGTACCCGGAGGGCCAATCAAGAGAAGACAAAACAAGGCTTACAAGAAAGAGTCTAGTCTCGAGACATCACTCCTACGGTTGTGGAAAGAAGATCTCCAATTATAATAAATTGTGTTGGTTGTGCTTTACACCGATGGTTTCGATTGGAGTTGGAATCGGGACCAGCGAGTTGCAATCGTCGATTTCATTTATGATCGCGATGTAGGCTGGATATCCATATGTAAGTCCCAATGTTACGATTTCAGAGGCCATATTAGAAAGTTTTAGCTACGCCAGAACAGAAGGTCGGAGGGGTTGGACAGAAATTCTAGCTGTTTTAGGCAAAGACTTGCAAGAGTTCAGCCAATAAGAGGTACTGAACTTTCTGTCCAATTGCTTGACGTTCTGTTCAATTCGCCCATCTAAAACTCCCTATTTCTCAAATTCGATGCAATGCAAAGTTGACCCGTCGTATTCATCACCTCTCGTTCTCGTCGCTTCTACCGTGTTTAAGATTGACTATCTGAAGCCGATCTGTAAAAGCTATACATCCACGACTCCGCCGGAGAACGTCATACATGAATGCTGCTTCGGGTTTATATAGCTTGGAGATTTTCCTAGTGAACAGATGTTTCGAGGAGCTACCAATAGTCTAGAGAGCAGCATATCCGATATCACTATGGCAGAATATGTTCCCTATTTCGACGGAATGAAACTTGGTAATGCTAAAGCTTTCTCATCCTGGAATCGTATTCAATCTCACTAACCACTCGCCCCTACAGGCCAAGGGTTTGCGTCACAATTGTTCCTCTATGCGTATGCTGCCCTCTAATGAATGTGCGAGAATTGAAGCTACAACACATATGTCCAACAAACATGCGTAGAAGATGCGGTCACTATTACCCCTCAGAAACCTGGCGGCGATGGAGGTGTACAGAAGAGCTATAGCTCGGTCCTGATCGAAGACTATGAGTAAGCGGATGACAACAACTTGGGAGTGTTATTCTAACTTTGATTTAGCCAGCTCACGAGATCTCTCCAGATATCTGGCGCTGCGGCCATTAGTGGCTGGGGAGTAAACCTAGAGATAGACACCACCTTCCTGAACCGCACCGAGGTTTGTTACTGCCTGTTACTTTTTCCTTGGTATGGTACTGATCTTTCTGGTCCAGTTCGAAACGAGCGATATCACGTATCAAGTGTTGGTTCAGGGGAAAAATCAGGCAGACGCATCGAGCAAGGCAGAATTTAACTGGTATGAGGCCAGTAATCCGCACGAAACGTATGGTGACAGATATATCGCCGGTACGTACAAGGGACATGGAACCTACTATATGATACATGCTAACAACACATTAGACTTCATTACTGGAGGTACCTTTTTTGCTCGAGTTTCAATGAAGGTCCGGAAGAAGCATATAATTGAAGATATCAAGGCATCGTAAGCAAATGATCCGCCACTCAGCTAGAAAGTGTATCATTATTGAGCTCGTTCGTAGAGCCAAACTTGCTTTCTCCTGTTTCATGGTAGGCGGGTCAGTTACTGCCGAAGTCGAAAGCGCCATGAAAACGATAGGTCAGTATAGTGATACAAGTATTATAATGCACAGTGAAGGAAGTGGGAACTATACTAGGGACACCCCGGCAGATCTTTTGGACTTAAAGCGGAGAGCGGATGAGTTTTATGACCACATGAGTGAACAAAGCTATAGAAGATTGTGTGTGCCTCTTCCCTTACCTTGAGCGAGATATGCTAAGAAGCCCTAGTGCTCTGCTCGGCCAGTACGGGAAGTTACCAAACTTCAAGAATCATTTCAAGCCGTTGAATTACTCTTATGCAACGCAGAAGGTAGGTTCAGGTCGAAACAAATTCATGGTATGAAGTCTCACCGGTGCAACCTTAGAGTTGGGAAATCTTTGATTCATTCTCTAGATATCTGTTTTTCAAAGACCTCATAGAAAGAAGTAAGTACTCGACCAGGAAACGTTCTTGCGCCATAAAGGATACTGATCAACCTTTTTACAGTCCCAATCGAGAAGTTTGTGAACGGAGGTGAAACAAGGAGAGATCTTCTCAATTTCCGGATAGATGAAATGGCAAAAATACAAGCCAAGGTAGTAGTTTTATCGACCAGTGCAGCAATAGGTATCTGACCAGGGTTGTTTTTCTAGGTTCTGAGTGTAAAGGCAGACCCCGCCGTCGTGAACCAGCCCGGCCAGTTTGAGGATGCAGATAGTTTCCGTCTGAGGATTCTGGTATATTCTCAGGCCGTGCAATGTTTGAATTTGGCTATACTCAGTGCCTAATATCTTGACTCTTTGATTCATAGAACGGTGTAAAGGCCGTTGAACTTCACTTTGCGAGCAACGTTGATCCGGTCCACTCAGACAGGACCCTAAACAAATTCTACGAGCACAGATCTGAAATTCCGAACTACTTGCTTCTACGATTCTCTTTGAAAGTATTCGACTTTTCTGCCATTTTGGGCACAACACTTGTGTCGTTTGGCGTTGAACAGGAACTCTTCGGCTCGACTGCTACTTCTGGAGAACACATATCTGATTGGGAAAGCGGCTTCACCGAGGAGCGTTATTTCTGGGCATTCTTCAGCCGAGGCGGCGGCCAGGATGATGGGATTCTTGTTGATGTGCTCTATCCAAACTTAGAGATCTCCTTGTTATCATCTCGTGTGGATAGGAGTAGGTTTGTTCTCCGACGGTCCCAACTGAACCGTATACACAATACTGACATTTATCCTCTATTAGCTCGGACCAGAATCATAAGGGCATGAGTAATTTGGACGCTCCGATTTTCATCCAGTCAAGGGGAAACGTACCACTTGACTGGTACAAGCGGAAGTTTTGTTTTTACAGTCATTCTGTATCCTGATGAATAGTCGATAGCCAGCTCTCTTAGCTGGGCCTTTCTAGCGATGATACCAGGCTGCTGCCTGGTCCTCAGTGTGTAGAATGCATAAGAATATATAAGAACATGTTTATACCTGTGCAATCAAAATAAAATCTACAATTAAAATAGGAATACTCACTGTCTCCACTTCTTACGCGCCTGAGCGAACGAAGATATTTGATATAAGTCTTCTCGGAGCACTTTCTAAATCATAAAGATGACGATCTGATATTTGCTGTGGATCCGCGGAGTAATGATGGACACGGGACAAAACATATCGATCTTTGTTTCAGCCCTTGTTAGCCAGGCGCAGGATAGAAGGGAAGAAACATTTCAATATTTCTGGACGGATAAATGTATGGCTCTTGAATAGGGGAAGAAAGGACAGGGTTAACTTTTCATTAATTGAGCTAGAAGAGACAGAGTAAATTATTTGTTACAAGCATTTACCTTTGTGATTCCTTTATTTCTTTATTTTTATTTGAGGTAGCGGAGGCTGTTGGGCAGTTCTCGGGTACTTTGATATTGCCACAGACGAAAGTCTGCATGCAATTAATTAATGAATTAAACAAAAAAAAAATACTAAGACATTCTGGCGGTAGCAAACCCTAACCCTGATAAGGAGACACGGAACGATTTCAAGGGCTGATACCTCTCCCACTCCTACTACTGTTACTCACAGAGTCACCACCGCTACCGCAGTCCACAACAACCCAGTTAAGTACTTATGTCTCAATTCAATGGTGTACTCGTTGCATAATGAACGTACGTTCGAACTCGCTTGACAGGGAACAGAGTACTCCACACCTGACAAAAAGGCCTAGGAAAATCGAAACGATGGAACAATGGGCATTGGAACAGGGTGGTATCATATCAATGAAAGCTCAATTTGTCACCGGCACAGTTCTGGGCACTAGGGCATATATATATTGCCGTGGGCTGCGGTGGTGATCTGATCCAAGCCTCTGCAGCTGCATGGAGCCCTACCTACAATAGTTCAACCACTCCAAGCAAACCCCCTACCAGGCAGGTATCTCCAGTTAGATATACCCATATGCACGGTCCCCCCCCCCCCCCTCTATACCCGTTAGGCATCTATCCGCCCACGACACCCGAAACCCGCCAACCGATCATTACCCTACACCACATCTGCCACCACAGGCACAACAGCAGCAGCCTCAATCGCCTTTAGGTAACACCTTAGCCCTGAAAAATTCACAGGTTTGGTCTCGGGTCTAGCTTCCAACGGCTCGGTTCTCATGAGAGCAAAGCGTTGTGCACTGGCACCACTGAACGGGCGCTTCCTAGTATAAAATTCCAAGCGGCCCGTGAGTACATCGTCTGCATTACTGGACTTCCGAGTAGATTTGGTAGCCTTTCATAATGTCGCGAAGTTACAGTTATCCAATCCGACAGTAGCGAGCCTCACAAAATCCACAAACCTAACCCATATGCAAAGGTGCATAACACATGCGGCCTTGCAGGGTAGGAGACATGAAATAGGTGCCTACAAAACCAGCAGTTTGAGGTCTGGACTATGAGCTATCTTTTGCAAGACCGCCGAGGTCTCGACTTTTAAGCCTTATTGCATATCCGCCAGTATCCCATAGTCCGTTAAAGCTGCCTATTGATTCGGGCGGCGTATTTTCAGCTGTGGCTTGTGTCTGGATCACACATATTCCGCTGCCACCATTCCTCTTTTAGCAACTATAATATTCTGTCAAATAGACAGCATCTAAGCACCGATAGGGCAGTAAAAAACAAGTATGGTGCGCACACTCTTAAAGGTGACGACACTGCGGTATCTGGAAGAACAATCGTGGCTGCAAGGTGAACTCCAAGTCAATGGGAGGGCTTATTCCTAGCCACTTTGCTACATTCCTGCCGGAATTGACTTTTGAGGGGTATAAATGGGTATATTAATATTATTCCACTTCGCTCAGTCTTGGTGCTTTTTACATACAAAAACAGCTGGTTTCAAGCTCTAATAACTAAACTTCACCACTAGTATTTGACTTTGTCTTTACCGATTTTCTTTAACCTTTCGGGTCGACAAATTATTAGCCATCGACTTTCCGCAATTTTCGGTCACCTTTAAGAGTGGGCGCACCATATAGTTATTGGAAGGTCGATCTTGAGTTTCATCGGTTGTATGATAGTCTTTCCCCATAGCCTTTGTTCAATTATTTTACCAAACCACACCCCCGCCATCACCATCTCTCAGACCATACTCTAGTCCTAACTCACGAAGTTCAAGCATTCCATTCACACGCCATCTAATTTACACACAATACACTCCATAATGTCGTCGAGAGCCCCCACTTCCAAACATCCAGCCACCCCAATCACTTCGCCTTGGCTGCTTTATCCTCGACACCAAAGATATCCACCAAGATACCCACGAACCTTTCGTAGACCGACCAACCGCTGGTGAGATCAGCATCAATGTCCACGGAAGCTTTCATGAGACACAAATGTTGTCGAAAGGCTCCAAGCTCCGCATTTTCCTATCAGACATCCTCTCACTCTCTAATGAAAAGCGGGGCAGCGGCGTTGCAAACCTAGTCGCTCCTCAGCTCACTATCCATAAACCCCGGAACAACAGTACCTGGTTCGAGGAGGCGTGCGGTAAACCAGAAACACTCGAGTGGTTCCTCAAGCCATTCAAAAACCGATACGATGTTTATCTGCTTGTTGGGTTCTTCATTCTCACGGACGCAAGGCTGGCTACGATCAGGACTTCCTCAACACTCGAGGCTGCCGGTGCTGAAGCATCAGCGCTACCGACAGCGGTTGCGGCTCTAGGTGATGCTAAGGCCCTGGTGGGGAGTGTAAGAAATACCAGGGACGTTAGTTACGGCCGGATTAGTGTCTTGGATGTCCCGGGGGATCAGATCTTTGGTCTGTGGTATCGTAAAGTGAAATTCAATTGGTTCTTTAGCCGGGAGCCTAGTATCTCCCTCAGTAATAAGACCCGGTGGCAACCACTCTACGAGGTAAGGGGTGGCCCTGAAGTAAGTACGGGTAATGAGGTAGATAGCGATGATGAGGAGGAGCCGGACATGCTGTGTGTAAGTCTCGAGGGTGATAGCGACTGGGAGGAGAAGGAAGAGGAAGAGGGGGGGGGGGGGGGGGGGAGAAGGATGCCAGCAGGAATATACAGGAGAGGGTATTGTAGTGTGGCTTCGGACCCTGCTGGATTGGATTAGGTCAATAACCTGGCAGCGGAAGGAGGGAAACACTGATGAGACTTTAATTTGGATTATGAATTATGCAAGTGATGGATTCCCAAGTTTCTGACCAACGTATACAGTAGTTAGCAATACATGTAGTTCTCTTATATTACAGCTTGTGGTACGATTATTGTAGTAGTATGGGAGGAGCCCTATTGCCTTAACCAGCTATACAAACCATGTTTTTAGACCCTGTTTCTACAATAATTCTACCTTGCGCTGTAGTAGTACTATCATTTTTCAAGCTATCGCCAGCTCCGGCTCCCATATATATAACCATGCTAGTAAGAAAAGCAAGGGAGTCAATTTCCCAACGTCGCGATGGGCAGCAATAATTCAGGCGACACGGTCCACATTCTGTATTCACCCCTGCCGCGGGTTTAAGACACTGAATTAAGAACAGAACGAGCTGTAAGGTTGCATGCAATTAATGAATTAAAAAAGAACAGAACGATGCTTAAGAAACAACCCTAACCCCACTTCTCGCGATCGACACACTGCATGTATGTGGCTAGGCAACAGTCTAGGCAATAACAAGCGCGATTGCCACTTCTGCACCGCGGTGCATGTGAGAAGACACCGCGGCAGACAGGAGTCTTCCTAATTCACCTGATTGTCACCGCCATTATTTACTACTTTATATATATATACACTGTCTACTTTCTCGATAAGGCAGCTACCTGATATACATTTCCCTGGCCGAACAGATTAGTTTGTCTCCTGCGCAGACCAAGCGGGGGTTCCGCCGAGATCACTGCAGATAGATACTCCTTAGCCAGCAAGGGTTCTCTGGTTTGTGTCCACTGCAAGGAATCTTCTTCGCAAAAAAGAAAAAAAGAAAGTGAGTTCTAACTGTCCATCCTCGCGTCAGGCAAGACCAGCACCCAGCAAAGCCTGCGACCAGCTGTAGTTATTGATCTATTTCAAACCTGAGGTACCATCAGCAGACTTTAAGAACAAACAAGTTCTGCAGCAAATGGGAGAACCGGTGAATAACAACCAAGTGTCTCCGACGGATGATCACGGAGATGCTATTACGGCTGATATATTGCAGACTGTTGCATAAGTTGCTACTTTCTATAATCAGTTCTTGGCCACGGGTAGTGTCGACATTATCGACAAGGCCATCACACTGGCTGGGGAGCTGGTGGCGGAGAGCACCTCATTCAAAGTCTCAGGGCTTGAACCTCTCTCATTGCACATGAAGCAATTGAGGTCAGACCCGATAAATCCCTCCAGCAGGATAGAGCCGGATACCGATTCTGGTGAGCGGGGGCTAACATCACCCAACCCCATGATGATACTACGGATGGAGAATCGCACGAGTTGAATCTCATTTTGAAAAGCAGATATGAGTATTTTGACGAGGTTGAGGACGTTGGCGCTTCCATCACCATAGCTGAGGAGACATCAGAAACTACGCCCATAGGCCACCCTGATCGACCGGCAGCGCTGAGCGAGCTAGGCAGCTATTTGAACTATCGGTACCTTCGATTTGGGGGGCTGGAGGACCTTAAGATGTCTATCGCGTACTTGGAAGAAGCAGTGACGGCAGCTCCGACAAAGCACCCCTATCGACCAGCCATGCTGAACAACTCAAATAGCCCATCACCCGTTGCGGGGACATCTGATCCGAACAAGACCAATGTCGATTCGGTGACGTCGTCTTATCTCGTGATGCATTACGAGTAATAAACGAGGGCTTTGAAGCACTCCAAATCGCCATGATGTCTGCAATGCAATGGGTGAACCCGGTATGGATTGAAGCCCTACCCACCCGATCAATTCCACACATTTGGACATAGCTTATCACTCGACTGATATATTGGTTACCAAGGTAAATATCTGCTCACACCAAACCTAACGAACGATATCATTTTCAACCGAACTGGGGTTATATAGTCCACCCTGGTTAACTCAAACCACCCATCACCCGTTATCGTTGCGGGGTGTGCATATGTCCAAGCAATGGTTCAATCCATACGGCCATCGTTCATCTTATCTACTACCAATACCAAATACAGCCATTTTTTGAGCAGGGCATATACTATATTCAGGGCCTCTATTACATCTGACAGATAGGATTTAGGCACCGCCACGTTTTATTTACCTAATTGGCAAACTCCACGATGCATTGATGGTGGAGCTGGAGGGTTGAAATATCACACAATATGATCAGCTTTTTGTACTTGAACTCGAATGTACTCGCGTGCTAATTAAGTCCCGAGGAATTTTGTGAGGTTGTTGCTATCAAGAACCCTCAGGATCTAACCGGTGGGTGGGTATTTTGAGCAGAAACTCACTGGGTGGAGGCGGCCATTGTTTTTTATGTCCGGCTCGCTTTGTTATTGAGAATTACATAAGCGCCACTCTGAGGTTTGCGGGAATGGTTCCGGTGCAATAATTTGATATAACGCGCAGCGTTATGTATATGACCTGTCATTTTAGCACGCTGATGCTGATGCTTCCACACGCCAATAACGCTCAGTCCAGCCACACTCTCACTGGTAAAAACAGTTCCTCCATGAAGCCTAGGATGGTCCTGTTTCCATCTATCCAGCGGGAGGGGCTGGTGTCATATCGTTCGAACTTTGGTGAGATCTTTTTGGTAAGGGGTATCGGTTTTTTTGATAGGCCCTCCGCGGCCGACGACGTGGGGGTTATAATCCAGGCCATGTCTTGAGCAATACTTTGATATCTCATTTGCCCGCGGCATCCACGCTTCTCCTGCCAAAGTCAGCTCACCACCCTGTACCCCGCCCGCAGTCTGCGGAGAATCAGCACCGCAAAATCTGAGAAATTTCGTTGCGCTGCAGCAGGGATATTCTACTTGCTTACAAGCATATGAACCAGAAAATGCAAATGTCTATTTTGTATGGCAGATCGGCGCCACTCTATACAAATAATCCTTGACTCTCGAACTCGCATTTTCTGGTTCATATGCTGGTAAGCAAGTACACCAAAAGTTGCATATAACTTGGATTTTGACGTCCAAAGGCTGCCTCTGGTTGGCCTATACCCCTGCTGCAGCGCAACGAAACTTCTCAGATTTTGCGGTATTCTACAACTCGGGTGCTTTGAAAATGTGAGGTATGTCGTGTACGCGCCTTTGCATCATTACCAGTGGTACATGTGATGGCGGGGGGTTGAGGGGAAATGGAGTTGTAGTGGTCGAGGTAAGCCTCCAGATAATCCTCACGCAGCTGTGAAAAGGTGGGTTGTCTTACTCAGTCTTGGGATCTGACGATGCATGAGAGGGATTATGGAAAATAAATTCACCTGACGTGCGTCTAAGCTGTTTAAGCTGCAGGGGGGAGGGTTTACTCTAACGACAAGCTAGAACTCCCCCTCCCCGTCAAAGAGACACCTACCTAAAGCATGATTCACACTCCGTGCACGATGCATGTACCGGAAATATAGACCGCAAAGACTCTACTGAGGGAACAATCCAGCGGCCCTGGGAAACTATTTCTCCAATAACCGCACGAGTGGGGGCATCATCAGAGTTTTCAAGCTCAAAGTCCCCGCAACTGGTGATGGGTCTACCCGGATAAATTTTGCAAGTAGAGGCAGGCTAGAAACGACGAGGTGGACTACAATCAGACAAAGCGAGGAGCCGCTGGGTTCAAAGGTCCGCCCCTTAATTGGCCGCACATGCTTTGGGGGGGTTATGCCATTCCTTTTTGATAGAGAGTCCACTGAGATTATCATGAGACTGGGCGATGTCACATACTCACGGCAGGCAAAAGGTATACCGGACAATGCAGGTTTTGTCTCTGGGCTTTTTTTGAAGTAGTTCACGTAGCACCCGCACCCTTTGGTGAACGAAAGATACATGGAAGTACTACATACCCACCTAGCCCCTGACTGACTTACGGGCGGACTACAGCCGCAACTCAATATGCCGAATTGCCAACATTCGAAGGATTTATACGGGATAGCAGAAAAATCCAGGAGAGCAAATTATTTTTGCAGTAAGAAAATTAAAATCCAAGAGGAATTCGTACGGGACAGCAAGGGATCCGGCGTATTGAGATCTGGCATACCATACATGTAGGTACATGTTACAGTTCAGCCATCCCACCCTAACGTCTTGGTTTTGATTAGGGGCCCGTGACGAACCCGGAAGTTTCAAACTGAGTTACTAACAGACAGTTTTAAACTGGTTAAAAACTGGCTCGAAGGAAGCTGGGCGTCATGCATGGTCATGAACTGGTCAGTGGTGGAAAACGAATTTTTGGTATGGGTTAGGGTAATTTAAGGTGTAAAAATTGAAATTTGAGGTGGATTAGGGTAATTTTGGCGTAAACTTTGAGTGGACATCAGGGTTAGTTCATGACCGTCGCGTCTTTTTGACTCGAGCTCTGAGTTCGTTACTGGCCACTAGAGTATGTACTACTCGTGTAGGGGTAAGTCTGTAGACAGGTGGTGGTGACACACAAGCAAATACCGATATTTCTGGGATATACGCCCATGGGCTTAAAGTAGAAAAATGCTTCCTGATTGGCTTAAGTCACGGGAATATGCATACACCGCCAGTTTTCCTTGACTTTCCTCCCCCCACTTTGCTTTAAGCCCATGGGCGTATATACCAGAAATATCGGTATTTGCTTGTGTGTCACCGCCACCTGTCTACAGACTTACAGCGATAGGAATGATCTATGGAAAAAATAGTTATATGGTGCACAGATACCTCGCCATACAATTTTACTTCCCCTACACGCGTAGTAGAACTTTTGATCGCTTATCCCTGTCGCGGGCCGGCCCGAGCCGAGATCTGACATCCTCAGTTGAGCTAGACGTCGATCGCGTCAGACAAAGCCGCAGAAATGATCAGAATTTATGCTATAGCGACACCTACCTCATCGATCGAATGGGTAGAGGTGGCACGATGGTGCATGGAAAGCTTATTCCAACCTTCCACCCTAGGCCTTACACAACTATATATTTTTACAGGCAAGATTCATCTCATGATTACCAACCTTGTTCTTTAAAGTTTAAGCGGAGTAGAAACCTTCTAAGAAAATTAAGATGTATGTAGAAGAATCGAATTGTAGATTCTATTCGAGTCTAGAGCCTTAGAGAGGAAAGTCTCTCCTTCTCATTCTCCCGGTTTATCTCCCTCCGCCCCGTCCCACCTAATAGTACAATGTGTCTAGAGTAAGTGTGTAGGAGAAGTAAAGTAATTGATCGTGTTGATTGTGCTAGCTAAGGGGGAATGCCCCGTATTTATACTAATGAAAGGTAGTACAAAAGAGATACAATGAGTCATGGACGTGTGAGTAATAGAATGACTAATAGGAAAGTGAGTCATACGCCGATGACGAATACTATAATGAAATGATGAGAATCTTCCAGAACTATGAAACGTGCCGAGCGCCCTATTTCAAGACTTCCCCTCGTGAGCCACAGTGAATAGTAGAAGAAAATAAAACATGTTTGCCTTTGTCCAATCCTTTTGTAAGTAAATCCGCCACGTTCTCGTTCGTCGAAATATATTCCAGTTCAAATAATTCATCCTCAAACCGTTCCCGAACAAAATGAAAATGTACGTCAATATGTTTAGACCTTTTATGAAAGACAGGATTTTTAACGAAAGAGAGAGAGCCGTTGTTGTCGCCTCGAAGAATGAAAGAGAGATTCAGTTTTCGTTCCAGCTCGTGGATTGCATTCCTTAACCAGATCAGTTGTCGACTGGTGTCCGAGAGGGCCATGTATTCCGCTTCAGTTGTAGAAGTTGCGACAGATCGTTGCTTATAAGAGCGCCAGGAGATGAGAGCTTCCCCTAGCATGAAGCAGTGGCCGGTGAATGAGCGGCGATCGTCGATGTCGGAGGCATAGCTTGCGTCACTGTAGCCGATGAGTGCAGTTGGTCGCGTTTTGGCGTAAAAGAGTGACCAATCGAGGGTACCTTTGAGATAACGGAGGACACGATGGACTGCAGCTAGATGAGCCTTAGTGGGACAGGAGGAAAATTGCGAAAGCATGGTGACAGTGTAGGCGAGGTCGGGTCTAGTGCCGATGACTGCGTACATGAGTGAACCGATTATCGACTGATAAGTTGTTGGATCGTCAATTTTTTCAGCTTCCGTTCCTTTTTGGAGGTGGACGTTGTTGTCGATAGGTGTTGTCACAGGTCTGGATTCGTTGAAGCCATATTTGATAAGTACACGCTTGAGATAAGCTTCCTGTGATAGGATAATGCCAGTCTTAGTGTGGATCAAGTGGATTCCGAGTGCCCAGTTGGCTGTGCCAGTTTCCGTCATTTCGAATTCAGAGTGGAGGAGGAGGCTGACGCGGTTTTTGCGTTCAACGGACCAGTAGAAGATGAGGATATCGTCCACGTATATTGCGATGACAACTTCCCCTGTCTTGTGTATGAAGACACAAGGGTCGAAGTCTGCTTTTCTGAATCCTATTTTGATTAGCGCTTTTGAGAGGCGGGCATACCATTCCCTTGATGATTGTTTGAGTCCGTAGATGCATTTGATTAGTTTGCATGCTTTGCCGGGAGTGGGGTAGCCTGGAGGAGATTTCATGTAGATTTCTTCCTTAAGTTCGCCGTATAGAAATGCGCTTGTGACGTCCATCTGATCGCATTGACCGCCGGTTTGAAGGCAGCGAGCGAGGAGTAGTCTGATGGATTCGTATCGGGTGACGGGGGCATAGGTTTGATCGGGATCTTGGCCAGG